TCTCGTGGTCTCTTCTCAAAATATGGAATGTTCTTTATTAAATAATTCGAAACAAATTAATCAATGTTCAATAAATTGATCATAATTTAATTTTCTATTCGAATTTATAATTTCCACCACCACAACAGCATACAAGTGATAAGGTTCCAATTTTTAGCCGTTGTGGGGGTGCTAACCTTCCACACGCGTAATCGACTCACGAACCTAAAAGAATCTTTGACAAGCGCGTATCGATTTTTTTGTCTTAAAAATTATTTTTCTTAAAATTGTTTTAAAGGCGTTTTTAAGTTTTTGACCTACCTAACCCAAAGGTCGATAGTGACTCCAAATTATTTTAATCAAAATAAACACAAAAATTCAATTTTCCCAAATAAGTTATAATTAAGTGTTTTCATCGAAAAATTACTCGTTCGTCAAAAAAGACGTTACGACAATTTATTTTTATTTAATTTTAGTTTATTCAATTAAATTTGATAAACCCCCTTTTCTTTTATTTTGCATATTTTATGGTTAAAGATCAAATCAGATTTAACTCCAAAGTCTTTAGTCCCCATTGATCCATCCTATTTCTCTATACTATTCTATTTATTTTATTTTATTTATTTAAATTGAGAATTAGGTTTATTTTATTTGACAATTACGATGTTTGTCAAGAGGATCAAGAGGAATTGGGTCGAGCAGACAAATGGTCGAGAGAATTACGAGTACCTTAATCAAATAACGTTATAAGTCAATCATTGTCCTTAAATTAGATGTACTCAACCAAAATACTTAAATTACATATGCATGTCCGCGTTCAAAATTTGGAGGCTTTCGGGTTAGAATTTGACAAAACAAAATTTGAATTCAAACTTAAGAAGTCGAAAAATATAAAATATGATTTTTTTTAAAAATGATTTTTAGATCAAAGTCAAAGGTCAACGCTGATCGAAGGTTAATGTCAATTCTTGTAAAGTCATCAATCATGTCAATGGTTAGGTCAATGGTCAGGTAAACGTTAAGGTCAAAGTCAACGGTTCAGTCAAAGTCAATAGTTTAGTCAAGGTCAACGGGTCAAACCGATTCAGGTTGACTCAAGTTGGTTTAGGTAAACTCGATTCGATCCCAGTTGAATTAATCTGATTCTAGTTGACACGATCGTAACTGGTTTGACTTGGTTCGATCAAAATCAAACTGATTCGATTGGGAGGTAACCAGTTTGGTTAAAAGTTGATCGGTTTGATCGGAGGCCAAGCCCCACTCATAGAGACGGCGTGTGGCATCGCGGAAATAGGTGGTGGGAGAAACCGAACACTCCACGAGCATCCACACAACCAAAACAACCTAGAACAACTCAGATTTCCAACTAAAACATGATGAAATAACAGGAAAAAGGGATTAAGAAGCTTACCCACAATGACTGATGAGGACGGCAATGAACTTGATTTGGTTTTGGTCAAAACCACTTAGGGAGAGCATGACGGTGGCAGGCGTGAGATGAATGGTTAACAGAGGAAATTGGAATCGCAATGAATAGTAGTGTCAAGATTTGGTTTTCTCTGATGAAGTTTCGAATGCTTCTCTGCGGCAAACGACAGAGAATCTTGGCTAGTGAAAGGCAAGGCTTGGATCAAAACGGGGTGGCGCTTCCTCTGGTACCGGCAGAGATACTCACCAACGAGCGACGGTCGGGAATGAAGATGGGTTTTTCGAATAGTGTCTCCATATTTCGTGATAAACGGTGGATAATTTGGGTGATTGTTGGTTGGGGTTAGAGTCGCGAGACAGCAACGGTCTAGTGGTGGCGGCAATGTACACCACCGCTGGTAGGAGATGGGGTGAATAGAGATTGGAAGTGGTTTGGGTGAAATAAATTTGGTTTGGGGTTACGAGTGTTTCGGAGGTTTGTTTTTAGGAAATGCGTTAACACTTGTTTTTATTTAGTTTAATAAATATTTTTCTAATTTCATATTAGCTATAGTAGACTAGCTTGAAGGGTTAAGGCTTTGTGTTGAATATTTTGGAGGATATGGGTTCAAAACCCATAAAACCATATGTTTTACTTTTTAATCTTCTTTTATTTTATTAGTCAAAAGGTTATGGTTAAATTCATATTTCAGTCTTTGGATTTTTTTTTTTTACATATTATCCTAACATTTTAATAAAATGCTAATTTAATCCTCAAAATCAATCTAAGGAAATTATTATTTTTAACCCAAAAAATTTGGGGTGTGACAAGTTTCCCTACAAGTATCTCGGTCTTCCCATGGGTGCTTCGAAAAATTCAGCTGCATTGTGGTCCCCGTTATGGAAAAATTTAATAGGAGGTTAAGGGGCTGGAAGTCGAAGCTATTATCTATTAGTGGCCGCATCACTTAGTTAAATATGTGCTTTCTATTCCTGTCTTGCATGTATGTTTATTTAAGATGCTGGCTGCGATTAGCAATCGCCTTAATAAATTTATTGCAAATTTTGTTTGGGGATGTTCAGATAGAAGATCGATGGACGTCCTTTGCAACCCGAAACTCTTTGGGGGTTTGGGTTTAATGGATTTAAAAATAAAAAATAATTGAATAAATGGATTAGGAGGTATGGAGAGTTTTGAATGCTAAATATGAGGGTTATTCGTATATACTTCTTCCTAGCAACTTAATTCAAGTAACAAGTCATGGATTTGGCGCAACATTATTTCACCTCTTTAGTCTAGTAATGATCCTTTTCAACAAAACATTCAGCTAGTAGTTGGTGATGGCAAGGTAATCGATTTCTGGTATGATGTTTGGATTGGCACTAGTCCTCTAAAGGAGATGTTTCTACGAATATTTTCCATAGCAATTTCGAAGCAGGGGAGCATATATGAATTTGGGTGTTTTGTTGGGAACGAATGGACATGAAATATATCATTACGGGAGAAATTGTTCGATTGGGAAGTGGAAGTTTAGAACCTTTTCCTCTCAACCATTAATGAATATCGGATTGGAGTTTTGGAAAGAGATTGCATTCGGTGGAAAGGGTCACCTAATGGATTATATAGTTCGAATACATTTGCTAAATTGGTTTCTCATCCCAGTGGTGACCTGGATCATATTTGGAGATCAGTTTGAGCGAATCTTGCTCCAGCAAAAGTTGAAACTTTTGTGCGGAAACTTTTGCACGAAAGAATCCCAACAAAGTACGAATTTGCTAAGCGTGGATCTTATTCTTAGGCATCTCTTAATTATGGTCTATGTTCAGTCAAGGAGAAATCGGTAAATCATTTGTTTTGTGAGTGCGGTATTGCTTGGTTGCTTAGGCAAAAATGGTTTCATGTGTGGGACATTTATGTGGTTATCCCAAGCTGTTCGAGAAGTCTCTTATGTGTTTGGAACTCTTGTTCTTCTAGTTTCAAGGAGAGAATTGTTTGGAAATTGGCATTTTTTGGAATTGTGTGGACTTTATGACTGAGCTGCAATAAAGCTGTCTTTAATGGTAAATTTTTTCCTGTTGATCAATTATTCTATTTGGTGGTGTTGAGGGTTGGTTTATGCTGTAAAGCTTAATGGAAAGTATGGCTTTTTCGATTAGTGATATTCAAAACATGCCTTTTATGCTTAAGGATGTGAAGGTTGGGTCCCTTTGCACTTTGCCCGTGTCTTGGAGCCCTCCGTCTTCGAGTTGTGGATATTGGTGGAATTTTGAGGGATCACAATTGAAAATCTTTGATCACTTTCTCAAAATCAATAGTGGTTGTGGATATTTCTACAGCAGAATTGCTTGTTGTCAAGGAGGCTGGAGATATGTTTTGGTCTTCTAGTTGGGTGTTGTCTTATTCTTTGCTTGTCGGGAGTGACTATAGCAATGTAGTTAGTTAGTTCCTTTGCCCATCAAAAGCCCCTTCATCGTTTAAGAATATTATTCTCTCTGCTTTTTCTTGTAGTACAGGGCCCTGTTGGTCTATCGTGCTTATCACCAGAGAAGCTAATTGGGTTGCTGACAATTTGGCAAAAACAGGAATCAATCGAACTGAAGATATGGTATTTATGTGTCCAATTGAGGCACCAAATTTTGATGGTTTTTCTTTCCCCCTAAACATCAGCGTTTTGACCTGGATCTGCAGATCTCTTGAGTTTCGTGTTTTGTTTAGCTTTGTCTGGTATTTTGGCTTCAAGTTATGTTTATGGTGTTCTATTGCTAGTGAGATTTGTTTTTGAATGTTTTAGGATCCTATGCTATTAAGTTGTGGTTGAAAGCATGTAATGCTGGTTTTGTCATCTCTGGTGTGAGTTTTCTATGTATTTGGGTGATGGTATTTTGGTTATATGAGAGTTGTGTGGCTTTTTGGTTATCTTTATTGGGAATTAAACAGTTTGTTTAGGATTGTCAGTGTAAATCAATATCTACATGGTGCACTCTTTTCCTCCATTAGGTGTTAGGAAGGTTTTTTTAACGAGTCTCTCATTTGTATCTTGTAATGTATGGTTTTATCAATAAAATCATACCATTTTCCTTTTTTAAAAAATCATAAACATATTGTAACTAATCAAATGTATAAAAATTTGAATCAAATAAATTAGAAAATACCTATAGTGGTAGTGGTTTGTACCAATGTGAAGGCATCACCAGCAACACTAGGAGATATCACATCTTCATCCTTAGCTTCCTTAATACACAGATAAAATGAAATCAGACAAGATCCATAAGTATATACATCAACAACAATAAAAAGGAGAAAGCAAACTAACAGTGGTAGCATCACCATCACCTGGGGGGAAAAAAGAATCATAATATATTTGCAACGAAAACACCATCGATGATTGTAATTACTCGACGCTATGATACTGTGTATTGTACACGATTATCGAAAGATGAAATTGAATAAAATGAGAAAGTAATAATAAGTTATTGAGAAAGAAAGAAAGAAAGTGAAACAATTAATGATGGTTAGGGTTAGGTTATGAGAGAATGAATTTGGTTTTTTATTAACTGGTCAAAAATGAATTCAATACAATAAACCTATTACATTGATGCTTTTATATCTCCATGATCATGCGTATAATTAATCCAACAACTGTTAACAATCCCTCATAAATTCTAATTAGACCTTTAACTAATTCACAACTCAACCTTCAACACAAAAACTATAGATTCTATGGATACTCAAAACATTTTTATCAAACCAATTGTACCATAAACTTTTCAGATCGGATCAAATGAAATTCGGGTCACGATCTCTAGCAAATTCAATCACCAGCATCATTATTTTCCTGGGAAACCAACATTTTCATCCTTTTCAGCAGCCAATCAAAGTCATCTTCTCTTTTAACCAAGCTAAGCCGAACATATCTGCTTTCAGCACCGAACAAGCTACCATGACGTCCAGTTATATTCATCGAGTGGAGCACTGCGTTGCAATCTTTATCTTCTTCTCTTTCACACTTGAGCCATGCAAAAGCTGCCCATCAAAAACAAGATAATCGTCAAGTTCACAACTTATTTTCGTTTTAGTCATGATTTGAAGAGTGTTAATGATTTACCTGGAGTTGGTTCTCTGACTTTTCGTGCGAAAGAGCAGTTTTGAGGCTCAAGTTCCTGTATTGAAAACCGCTTAGACGTTAACATGGTTTTGCGCAGCTTTATCCATCGGTTTCTCATTATTCTGTACCCGAAGTTAAACATTTCCTTTCCTTGTTCTTCAATGGCAACTTTTAGCAGCTTCAGAACTCGAAGTTGAGTCTCTCGAGGAACACCATAAGTGCTTAGACTCATATATGTAAGCATCCTTTGATACACAGCTTCGTCTTTTATGATTGCCCATCTGAGGGAAACAAAGCACGTTTAAGTATGCAAACCAAAATTATGGCTTTAAGGAACCAAAACGATGGAGAATATTGTTACCCAAATCTGCTTCCGCCATGGCCAGTAAGCTTGGAGAGAGTGAATATCATGAGATCTTCATCTGCTGGAGTTGGCACTGGTGTATAATGTGGCCAATAGTAAGCAAGATCGTGGATTGTCTTCACAGATAGACCTTGAAGTACTGCCTTCTTTAATTTCCCATCCGGATTGTTAGGTGAAGTCACAAGCTCGATGAATTTCCCTTGTGAAACACTTTTGTTTTTGTACACTGATGTATCTCCTTCGAACTTGTAATCCTTGGAGTTGAAGAACTCAGTTTGCTCCCTGTAAACCTGTAGCATGAATCACCTTATTATGAAAATTTGATTAAAAGACATAAATTTAGGCTTGGTTATAAAATAAATGCCTAAACTATAACGATTTTCACTAATAAATGTCTACAATATTTTTTGAACGAAAAAAGTCACTACTTTAGGTGTCTAGACCGTAACTGCCGTTAGTTTTCTCTATTGAGTGACACTTGTAACATTATGGTAATTTTTATTTTTTAAATTAAAAATATTATTATATTTATAAAAAAAGTCCAAATTCATAAAAATCCTAAATCCTAATCTTAACACGTTGCCACCGCCCTTTCCAGCCACGGCTATTGATGCCAACTTAGTCCCCGCCATCTTCCTAGTCATACGCTGTCGTAGTTGCAGTCGAAATCGTGTGGGATCGCGATTTTCATTCTAGGGTCGGTGGGGTACAAAACATTGATTGGTCGCGATTTCGTATTGATCGTTGGGGGTAGGTCAGGTCGGGTGGAGCTTCGTTGACTGCAAAAGCCAGTGATCGGTGTGGGTTTAGAGGTTGAAATGAAAATTTTCAAAGTTTTGAGGTTATTTCAAAATTTTTGTGTGTGCTTTTTTAAAAATATATAATTTTAATTTTAAATAAAATTTTTAAAATTTTCAGAATATGACACGTGTCACTTAATAGAGAAAATTAACGGTATTTACGATTCAAACACCTAAAATAGTAACATTAGACATCGAGATCATTCAAAAAATACTGTAAGTACCTATTTGTGAAAAACACTATAGTTTGGGATCATTCAAAAAATACTGTAGACCTAAAATTTATTAGAGTAAGAGGGCAAGGATCATACGGGATAGTATGGGGTCGATGCAACGACTCGTGCTGGCGAAAATCGATCGTTAGTGGCGGAGAGGGAATGCACTGCTGCATGAAGAAGTTGAGTAGCACCACCACCGATTACGATGTATCTTCCATCAGTCACTGCATTTCCAACAACTGCATGAAGTGTACGGATTTGGGATTCGAGTTGGTTAGAGAGGAGAGAACCATCGTTGAATTCGTAGCTCATCCGATGCCATCCAGGAACCACAATGGTGCTGCTAGCTGCATGCTTCAACCAGAAGGGCTCCAAGAACATAGGATCACCACTGCAACAAATGAGTTACCATTCACAAATACAACGTTAATCACATTAATCATCTGCAAATGAACCGAAACAGTGGTGTGATCGGTCGATTACCTATCGGCGTCGGCTATACATCCCGGTAACAAGACGGAGCAGTGAGGGCCTGCATAGCATGCATTGCACTCACAAACAGGTTTTCCATCAAGGATAGATCCATCCAAGAAAGCTCTACCGTGTCCTGAACAGGAGATGGATGCCACAAATTCAGCTTCTGCAGCAGCGGTTTCGGTCCAACTTTGCTCCCACCCGCCATGGGAGTAGATGCTAACAAAAAGTAACAGGTTAAGTACCATCGAACAACTTAACAGAATCGTAATGGTAGCCATGTTATGTCTCTTTTTTCTTTCAAACCTGAGTGTGATTGGCAGAAAAACTTGCTGCTTTATACAGGAGGATTACTGACTGCTACTTGTGAATAAGATCACGTTTAAAATGAAAACAAAATCAACTAGGGTTTATTAATAACAGTATAATCTACGAGGCCATTGACGTTCAAACGCGGTTTAAATGTTCAGAAACTTTCCGGAAGGCGGCTAGATAATCATATTTTAACTTTTAAGAACACAACATGCATGTTATTGTTATTGAAGAATTTATTGTTCTATATTTGCCCAATCAGAAACACTGACAGATGATATATAATAGAAATAAAAGGGAAAAATACTAAACAATGACTACAAGAATCTAACTCGAACTGGCTTGTCGCGTATATAAAAGTCAAACACATAAACAGTCGGCAAAATTTGCTGAATATAATATAATCATATAACTCTTTTTTTACTAGTATAGTGTGAAAAACTAAAAATTAGTTGTCTGTTTGTCGGCAAGATTTGTTTATTTTAGGGTAAAGAACACAAATAGTCCCCCAACTATATGCCACTGCTTTGTTGAGTCTATTGACTATTAAAAGTTACAAAATGGTTCTCTAAATATATAGTGTTGTTTTGTTGAATACCTCAACTATTAAAAGTTATAAAATGGTCACTCGACTACTCAATGTTTCAAACTTGTCATTTTCTATTAAAAGGTTGAAGATCGATTGAGCTGAACATTAACCTACTGACCATATATGACAACATCTTATCCCAGAATCTCAAATGACTATACAATTCAAACAATTATGGGATCAAATTTTATCATATCTTAGTCAACATGTTAACGTCCAAACTCAGACGACCGTCAAATTTTTAACAGAAAATGATGAGTTTGGAATATATGAATAGTTAGGTGTCCATTTTGTAACTTTTAATAGTCGATGGTCTTAACAAAACAATGCCCTATAATCAAAGAATCATTTTGTAACTTTAGTTTGTCAAGGGACTCAACAAAGCAGTGCTATATAGTTGGGGGACCATTTGTGTACCTTACCCTTTATTTTAATTAGCTTATTTTTGTTTTATTTTTATTTGAAACATATCACAATTTATTTAGTTGCAGGTCACATTATATACCTTTTCTATATAAATTCGACACTAGCGACGGCTGACCTATCAATAATTGTAACTTTGTGCCTAAACTAGAAGGAATGAATAGTCTATAATCACTGCAATCTAATCGATTCTATCAATAAATCTATTATATTTTATTTTATTCATAACCTTGATATTTAAAATCTTAGAATAAATAAACTTGATTGAATGAAAAAAATCAAATTTAATTATTATTTTTTCAAAAGTTTATAAACTTCTAGCACCTAGCCACATTTTTAATTAACTCCTAAATGTTGTAGGAAATTGAAATATAATTAAGAATATTAGTGTAATGACACATTGGAACTCCAAAAGGTTATAAGAAAGTTGTTTAACAGAGTTTAGAGTAGTAGTTTATTCTCAAATGGGAACTTCGCCTACATTAATTTCAAAATGTAATTAACTTAACAAATTAAACTTGCACGAACCCAGCGATATCGACACTAAAGAAATTGTTGTTATTTACTGAGGTCTTAGATTCGAGCACTAGAAACCCTAGAGATATGAGCATTTAATGTAAATGGTTTAAAGTTTTCTTTAAACGGATACTATCTTTTACTAACATCATATTAATAAAAAAGAAAAGAAACAAATTAAACTTAATTTCAATGCCATTACATTTTTAACTTTTAGGATAAAACAACGTCACTGCATTTTAATTTCACAACTTGGGAAACACTTACGCATATCATTACGATTGAATACGAGTAGGAGAATTCTGACTTTCCTTTTAACTATGGGTAAAATATGTAAATAGTTAAGACATTATTTTTTAGTTGTTCAACTATAAAATATTGTAAAATGATTATTTAATTTAAAAATAATATATTAATATTTTTTATGAAAAATAAATAAAAATGACGTGATAATTAATAAAATTCTCATAAATGATGTGATAATTAAAACACATAACTAAAATGTATGGATTAGAAAAAATGGAAGACAAGGGGCAATGAGGAAAAAATGGAAGACAAGGGGCATGCATGAGGAAAAAATGAGATATGATATGCAAATCTGATGTTCAATTTGGATAAACACACCAATCTGTTCAACAGTGCATATTGCTTATCCCTCGCCTTGCTCCATGTTCAAAAACCTAGCCACAAAAATTATATGAATAAAGACTAAAGGGCATTTTTGGTATTAAACATGCGGTTCGTCCATATTGATAACCATAAAATTGCATTTCATTATTTTTTTTTTATTAATTTAGGGTGAATACAGGATAATGATATGATCTAGTCCTAGATCTGAAAATATTTTTTAAGATGGGCACATATATATTAATAACACAGAAGTTTTAAATGGGATGGGCACATAAAATTTTAGGATGGACACCATTAATAAAATAGGTAATTAACATAATAAAATTTGAATCTCAGAGTGAACACGTGTCCACCCTAGGGTACATGTAGATCCGCCACTAATACGATGTCAACGGAGAACGATCGATTCGTCAAGCATGAACTCTTACGAGATTCTAGGCTCTTGTATAATAGATCGAAAGAAAGTTTTTGTTCACGCCAAAATCAATAAAAAAAAGATTAGAAAACATCAAAGAACAATTCAAGAATTATAACGAGAAAATTAAAGAAACAATAATGAAGCAATAAAGATGAATAAAGAAGATGAAAAGATGGAATCTTGAACTCAGGAACGAATCAAGATAGGCGTTGGATAGATATCCTAGAAACCCTTCAAATCTTGATTGATTCGATAAACTCCGTCACCGGCTCTAATCAACCTTCCAAGAAAGATGATCTTGGCAAATTGAAGATTGAAGATGGTTTCACTACGAAACGTGACATAGAATGCTTCGAAAACACAAATAAAAACACTTGCAAAAACGTACTCAAAGAGCATATTACTCATAAAACAAGAGATATGTCTAACAATGGTGTGGGTGGCACCCTTGTATAGGGAGGGTGCGGCCTATTCTTATCATGATCTAATCCTAATTACTAACCTAATGAAAAACAAAGACTTATGAGGTCAAATCTTGACCATTAATCCCCTATAGACCTAGTGGATGAAAATACAAGTTGCTTGGAAGGAGAAGACTTGGGCGACAATGATCTTGGTCCTTGATCTATCCTAGGGATGGAAAACGGGCGGTCGGGTGCGGATACCCCCTCCCCTATTCTCATATCCACCTAATATTTTCAAATCCACCAACCGCCCACCACTCATGATGGGCAAAAAAATTTCAAATCCACACCCTCCCACGAGGGTACATTCTCAAATCCATCCCCACACCCACTACCCAACTGGAGACGTACCAGGCTAGACCCACCTGACAACAACCTTAAGTTATACATAAACAACAAACATAAAACAAACACTTCCATTAAGAAGCATAATATTAGTCTATAAAATTATACCTAATATTTGGTTAAATTATAAGTTATATCTTATCCAATATTAAGATTTATAAATTAGTCTCTAAAATTATATCTAAATTCACAATGGTCCAAAACTTAATGGGTATTTAGTGGGCGGGCGGATGCGGGGCGGGTAAGGTCTCAAACCCATCACCAGGCCACTATCCGCGACGTGTACCACTTTCTAAATCCACACCCGCCCACTACTCACTAAAGTTATACCCAATCCCACCCCAATTGGAGTGGATATGGTGCAGAATCCATGAAATTGTACCCGTTTGCCATCCCTAATCTATTCTAAATCCAATGACTAGTATTTAAATCACATGGATCACTAATTATTTAACTTAATCCTAAAAAACAACAATTAAAAATAAGGATGGATTGGATTTTGTGACCCAATTCGGCCCAATGCTTTATAACTAAGCTTGGGCTGGATTTTATATTTAATTGACCCAACTTAATGGACTTCAAAATTAATTGAAGATGCTTCTTTTATGGACTGTGCTTATGGATTAATTGGAGCAGCCTCTTGTACATTTGTGGTTCATTCTCTTTCGGATGCATAGATGATTGATTTGGGTTTCTTCTTTCTTGGACATCCTTTGTGTATTTATTTTGTTGAAATCTTAGGTTCTTCAAGAAGGCTAGAGGACTTTTTTTTATAAAGTCTTGAATGAATGCATTTAGTTAAATCTTGAATCGTCGAGACTTTCTTCTTGTGATTGGTACAAATGGAAAGATTAGTCCATTATGATCGCGGGTGAGTTTTTTATGTATTTGGGTGATGGTATTTTGGGTATGTGAGAGTTGTGTGGCTTTTTGGTTATCCTTCTTGGAATTAAAGAGTGTGTTTAAGATTGTCAGTGTAATCAATACCGACATGATGCACTCTTTTTCCTCCATTAGATGTAGTGAGGTTTTTTAACGAATCTCTCTTTTGTGTATGGTTTCATCAATAAAATCATACCATTTTCCTTTTAAAAAAATCATAGCCATCTTGTAACTAATTAAATGTGTGAAAATTTGAATCGAATAAATTAGAAAATACCTTTGAAACTTCTTTAATGGTCATTACACAATACTTAATCATTATTAATTATTGTCATAACCATTTTTTTGATAAAAAAAATAAATATTATTTAAAAAAAACAATTATGACTTTTTATTTGAAAAATTGGTGATTTTGAGTTAATTTGAATTAAATTGAATGGGAGTCGTCATCGACCCTTGAGATAGGTAGGTCGAATACCTAAAAAGGTCTTTTAAAACAATTTTAAGGAAAATCATTTTTAAGAAAAAAATCAGTATGCATTATCAAAGATTCAATTTAACGGGTCTGGGAGTTTATTACGCATGGGGAAGGATTAGCACCCCCACAGTGCCCAAAATTGCTACTCAATCTCTTACACGTTGTCATAAATGGTGGAAATTACAAATATAATATAAAGTTAGAATAGGATCCATTTATTAAAGATTAAATAATT